GTTGCGATCCCGTTACCGGTCAGTAAAAAAGACAAAAAGGAAAAAAAAAAAAAAAAGAATCAGGACTCATGTCAATGGTTAAGAATAAGGTAAATCATCTGATTCCATGAGAATTCATAGGAAAGAGCAATGAACTACCTAGGAAAGTCCAGGAAAATAAGAGAAGGTGGCATTTAAGTTAGTCTTTAAGATCAGGCAGGAATAATGCAGGTGTGTATTAAGAGGCAATAACAATAATAATGAGAGATAACATGTTATTAAGCTTCATAGTTGACAATAATCTTTCACACATTTTATTGATTCAAGTTCATCTTGCATTGTCACTCACTGTTAGGAAGATTTTATTACACCAGTACTACCCAAAGTGTGGTCTGCCAGCTGGTGGCCATTACCCATGACAAGAAACAATAAGACATGCGGGCATTGAGATACATCATTTAGAACCATTTATAACAATCCAGCAGTAATTTTCTATCAACTGCAATAATAAAAAAATTTGAACTTGTGTCTGGTGTGTCTTTTTATTTCATTTTTATTGAATTTCATCATAGTATTAGGCTTTAGTGGATTGAAAACACACACGCACACGCACACACACACACATGCACACTCCTGGTCCTTTCCCACCAAAACTCTGAAAAACACTGGCCCCAAAACATCAAAAGATCCAGAAGGCACGACAGAGGTGCGTGAGGAGAGCTGGAAGTGAAGGCTCCCATTTAATAGTTTCCACCTATAACAAGTGATCGATTAAATTTTATTTAATCCTCCCAATAACCAATGGGATTGGTGATAAGATCTTTTTACAAAAAAAAGACAGAAGATTCGGAGCCAGGAATCAAACCAAGATTTGTCGGAATTCTCAGCCCTCCTAAAATCATGCTGAATTAACTGTCATTTCAGTGACCTTCTCTCTTCTATCATCATCTGTAGATCACAGCTTATTCTGGGACCAGATGCTCCAGGGCTCAAGGTCATGAGCTTTGGTGCTGACATGTCCTTAAGAGTTGACTCACTAATCTTTCCTTAAATTAGGAAAAAGAGTCTGTCTTTTTACTCAGTGGAGCATGGTGTGTCTCATATGAGAAAAGAAAGATTAAAACAATAACAGCAAGCCAGTTACCATTTCTGTTCATATAGCACAAACACACACACCCCTTCTCATTGAGCAAGATAAACAAATCATGCTCTCTCATTCCCAGTGAAGAATTAGTGTCAGGTATTTTTTTTTCCCTGACTTGAATTTTTTCCCCTTATGTTAAGATGTCTTTTTTTTTTTATCATAAACTTAAAAATTGTTGTTACTAAAATGGATCTTAGAAACTTTACATAATGTTATATACCATTTAAACCACACAACACCACTATAAGGTAGGAATTACTATTCCTATTTTATCGATAGGAAATTGAGGCCCAGAGAAGTTAAGTAACTAGCATAAGGTTGCAAAGTTAGTAAATGACAGAATCAGGATAGAAATCGCATGTTTGTGTGAGAAGTCCATGGTAAGTCTTGATAGTCTATTTAATAACTATAGGATTAAAACATGAGCAACAGACAGCTGTTAATCTTACTAACTCTGTGACTTCTACTTCTGTTAAATGATTTATACTTTATGCAGAATGAAGCTGTTAGAGTCACATTCACTGTGTGTCCCTTGGTCTACACTTCCACATTTTCTATTTTAAAAGTTCAGAAACTTCGATAATTTCTTTTGGCAAAGAGACAGTAGGGAGATGGACAACTATTCTCTGCTAGAATGTGGCTGAACATGGCCTTGAGAATCTGCAGAACTAGGGCTCACGGGCTGCCTAACTCTCTAAGTGAGAAATGTAGGCAAATTAACTCACCTTTCTAAGCTTAAGCTTTCTTATTTGTAAATTGAAAATAATAATACCTAACTCTCAGGGTTTATGTGAGGATACACTAAATAAGATAAGCAAGGTGCTTAGCACCATTGAAAACACTAAGAAATGCTCAACAAATACTTGTAAATTTTAAGTTAATGTTGAGGAGTAGTCTTGCAGAATGTTGGAAAAGACTAGTGATCTGCTTATAAGGTTGCAAAGTTAGTAAATGACAGAATCAGGATAGAAATCGCATGTTTGTGTGAGAAGTCCATGGTAAGTCTTGATAGTCTATATAATAACTATAGGATTAAAACATGAGCAACAGACAGCTGTTAATCTTACTAACTCTGTGACTTCTACTTCTGTTAAATGATTTATACTTTATGCAGAATGAAGCTGTTAGAGTCACATTCACTGTGTGTCCCTTGGTCTACACTTCCACATTTTCTATTTTAAAAGTTCAGAAACTTCGATAATTTCTTTTGGCAAAGAGACAGTAGGGAGATGGACAACTATTCTCTGCTAGAATGTGGCTGAACATGGCCTTGAGAATCTGCAGAACTAGGGCTCACGGGCTGCCTAACTCTCTAAGTGAGAAATGTAGGCAAATTAACTCACCTTTCTAAGCTTAAGCTTTCTTATTTGTAAATTGAAAATAATAATACCTAACTCTCAGGGTTTATGTGAGGATACACTAAATAAGATAAGCAAGGTGCTTAGCACCATTGAAAACACTAAGAAATGCTCAACAAATACTTGTAAATTTTAAGTTAATGTTGAGGAGTAGTCTTGCAGAATGTTGGAAAAGACTAGTGATCTGCTTTAAAACAAAAACAACAACGACAAAAGAGAAGAATAAAATACAATAAGCCTGCAGGATAGAGGGTATAAATACTCTTGAATAGCAGAATTGGTACAAAATATACATAGAAAAGAAGTTGGTTTTCAATACCTCTCATTTGCACTTTTATTCTGTAAACTTCTACTACTTGCTCTTATTACCTGCTTGCCAAATTACCTCACCTCTGAACCTGCTTCCTGATGCAAAACGAAGACAATACCGATTTTATGATTTGTTGTAATAATTAAACAAGGTTAACAACATACCTGAAGATTCTTTAATGCAGCAGGTAGCCACAATTCTTATTTTCTAAGAGAATATTAAGCACGTTTAGGTCGGAGATAACAGAAGTGGAGCTGGATCGATCCCAGGTCTGATTCCCAGGCCAGCATTCTTTAAAGATTACACCGTCAGGTAACCAAGCCGCCTTCCGTGAGCGGGGTTGGGGTGGGGTGAACGCTTAATTTCTCAATGCCTTGCAGTGACATGTATNGTAAGAGAATATTAAGCACGTTTAGGTCGGAGATAACAGAAGTGGAGCTGGATCGATCCCAGGTCTGATTCCCAGGCCACCATTCTTTAAAGATTACACCGTCAGGTAACTAAGCCGCCTTTCGTGAGCGGGGTTGGGGTGGGGTGAACGCTTAATTTCTCAATGCCTTGCAGTGACATGTATACCCTTCATTGTTCACTATTTGGCTATATTGTTATTATTTTTACTCTCTGGTAATTTGAGGTATTGAAAGCATAATAAGAACGCCTTCACGCTTATCTAGTAACCTCCTGGCCTGTCCTTGGCATTCCAAGGAATAAGCTTCGTGCTTAAAGAAAACAGATATCAAGGAATCCACCCTCCACCAGTACACACAGCTCGGCAGCGGCGCCCAGCCCAGATGTTTATATTTTCCTCCCTCGGCCCCGCCCCCCGACCACGTGGGGATCAGACCACGCCCCCAAGCTGGAGCTCCGGACTCGCTTAGCACCTCAGCCTACCCACAGGGGTTCCTGTCCAGCCAATCGCGTCTGAGCAACGGGGCTGCCCCGAACAAAGATGGCGGGAGAGACCTCAGTGAGGGCAGACCGATCTGAACGCCCGAACCCGCGGCGGACAGCGAGGCAGTGAGAGCGTCGCGGCCCGGACCATGGAGGAGGGCGGCAGCGCTGGCAGCGACAGCAGCACCGGCGGGAGTGGCGGGGCGCAGCAAAGGGAACTGGAGCGCATGGCTGAGGTCCTGGTCACCGGCGAGCAGCTACGGTAAGGCAAGGGGCAGAGCGGGTGGGCTCGCGGTGGCACTGCCAGCCCGTGCCCAATGCAGCCCTGCGCGCACGCGTGCCGTGGCTCGTTGCTTGCGACCCGCACCGGGCGCCCGGAC